CACAAAAACATTATACCCTGATTTCCCATTTTCAATGGGTTCAGGGTATAAAAACAAAGGCGAGCGAAAGCCCAGCCTCAGATGGCGTTTTACGCTGCGATAAAGATTGGCGTATACGTAACGGTTAATTGCTACTTTGGGGTGTTTAACGAGCACGCACACACACACATACATTGATATCCGTGTGTGTGTGTGTATCCTGCACATTAATTATATGGTATATGCGGCATGATTCAGCACTTAAAGAAGTTTCCAGCAACTTTTGTGGGCAACTCGTTCTCACGCTCTCACTCTCCCTCGCTCTCTTGCTATCTTCCTCTTTCTGGCAAACATCTGGCATCGCTGTCGTTTATCAACTTTATAAATTGTGCGTGAATTCGCTTGTGTTTTGCTATTTATGTTTGACTACAATGCAATGAAAGGGCCTTAGAATGTTGCTGTTATGAGTGATTGTTGTCTGCGAGCTGGGATAACGGAGTCGCCTTCAAGTGCTTAGCCTCGGTAATGCCAAAATGCAGACAATTATTATTCAACGGTCTACTTATTATAGCTATTTTGATTTTGAATATTCTTAATTTCAAGCCATTCATTGAATTCAAGCCTCTTTTCTTTAAGCCTCCATATATCAGGTCGCAACGCTCGTTGACTTAGTCGCACTTTATTTTTCACAAAAATTGCATTTCAGGCAGCGAAGCCATTAGCCTAAAATATACAGCAAATCAGTTCCAAGATAATATCTCAAATCAAATTAATACTGAATCGCAAATATGGAGTAAACAAGCTTCGTGTTACAAGAAACGCGTTTTTATCGAATTTTTTCAGTCGTCCTTGCAGTTTCCCCACACTTAAAAAGCGAATTGAAAGACAACTTCCAAAAACCTGCTCTGCAATAGACGAAACCCGATTAAATCTCGAGTATTTAAAATTTGGGGCGAAGGGGGCGTGGTATCCAAAATCTAAATGCTTGTATTTATCATATGTATATACACAGAAAATCTGAAGTCTCCACGTCTAATAGTTTTCCGATGAAGCTCAAAAAACGAAATCCATTTTTCGATTAATTTCGATAAAAAGTTATCGCATAATTAATCGAAAAATAAAGCCAACTCGTACGGTATACACGGGTATGCATGCCAAATTTCAGCTCTCTAGCTTTTGTATCTTCTGAGATCGACGCACTCATACAGACGGACGGACAGATGGACAGGGCTATAACGACTCAGCTCGTCGTCCTGATGAAGAATATATGTATATACTTTGCCACGCCTCCTTCTGCCTGTTACATATATTTCAAGAAAACCATTATACCCTGATTTCCCATTTTCAATGGGTTCAGGGTATTATAAACTTTGCAGATCACGTTTTTCAGTATTCTCTATTGTCCTGCAAGTAAATCAATAAAATATGATTTAAATTCCGCGCCGTTGTGAACTCTTTATGCTATTTTAACTGCCTGTTAACAACTTAATAGATTCCCTAATGCCGAAACCCCTCAACTCGCCAAATCGTGGCGCCTCCTTAACCCCCTTGGCTCACCCTGACCCTACCAGCCCGCATCCGTTTGCCCACTAGCCATTTAAACTATTTGCAACAAATGTCGACACCGATTCGACGTCGACGCTGTTGCCGCACAATTTGCACAAAGCCAAACGATTGTTATAGTTGTTACTGTGTATGTGTGTGTGTGTGTGTGTGTGTGTGTGTGTGTGTCGAGTCCAAGGCTGAGCTATGTGGCTGTGTGTATATTCGTTAACTGGCCACAAGCATTGGAATCATTAAAAACTATTTGCTGAGCGAATGCCACAGCACAAAAGCCGCAGCCGCTGCCACAGCCATAGCCGCCGCCCCCGGCTCAGACCCACAGCCAGGAGCAGAGCTTGGATGCGAACCAGCACTAGGATGCGGCGCACTCCCAGCAGACCGCGAATAGTGGCGGCAAAAATAAAAGAAACTGGAACAAACACAGATACAGCTGCAATGTGGTTAAAAACCAGTATAAGCCTAAATGCCAAAAAGTTCTGTTTCACAACTCGAACAATCTAACGGAACAAAATAACAAACCGAATTTTCGGCTGAGGCAAAAACAACAATAGGAATAAATACTTTATTGTTATCGCATTAAGCTAGACTGCAGTAGATAAATTACCAAAATGAAAGAACAGAATTAGACGAGGTATCAAAAAACAATACTAAACATGAATGAAAATAATCCTAGAGTGTGCAATTCATGGTAGCGATATTCCACAAATAAAAACTAAAATTAGTATACTTCATATATAATCTCATTTAAATCGGGCATTAGAATTATTGTAACTAATAAAACTGGACATTTTACAAAACTATTATCCTCTTCCGCTCTCCTTTATTATTTCTCTCTCTCTCCCTGCATATTTGCATCTCTATGCGTGTCTCTGTTATTGTATGTCTCTCGTATCTCGATTTATCTCATATATTTCCTCCTCTCTCTCTCTCTCTCTCTCTCTCCAATTTCTATTAGACTATCGAGATTTATCTCTTCCTCTCTCTCTCTCTCTCTGTCTCTCTCTCTCTTTCTCTCTCTCTCTCTCTGTCTCTCTCTCTCTTTCTCTCTCTCTCTCTCTCTCTCTCTTTCTCTCTCCCTATCTGCCTTCTTCTCTGGTTGTCTCTTGCTCTCCTTATCTCTCCCTTTATATGTTTTGGTCTCCGTCTCTCTCTATTTATCTCGTCCCTCTATGTCTCTCTCAATTTAGCTTTCCCTATATATATATTTGCGGCTTTCTCTCTCCCTCTTTCTTTCTTTCAAGCTAACCTCATCGACCCAGGTGATGAAGCACCCACTCCTTAAGACTTAGCCACTGTATACAACAGTTATTATTCCAAGCTATTCATTTATAGCAATCATACAAAAACATGCATAGCGACACACATATACATACATATGCTCTTTTGGTTGCCTAATTATCAAAGTTGTCTACAGATTGCCACACACACTCGCACACATACAACAGGCAAATGTAAGCCAAAGGCTGAAATGGCGCATAAAAACGTGACCAAGACCTAAACGCTGAGGGTTGCATCGTGCAAATCACATCGTTACAGATAATATTATGGCCAACACAAATATACAAAGCTGAGTCTATGTGTGTGTGTCACCTCATGTGCACGACAACGTAAAGTGTCATTGACAACGCGTCATTGTCTCAAGCACTCATTAATCTCAAAATGATACAGCCAAATTTGCTAAAAGCGAAATGCTTTGAGAGCTCTTTCAAACTATCTTAGCTAAATCTCTTTTCACTATGGAAATGAAACGAAAGACTAGAATTCGAAATATTGATTTAGTTTCTTTTATGTAAAGTCATATGGGATGCTAACAGTAGCTGCGTTTTTAGTTTCTATCTCTAATACTGTACAAAATTCAGTTTTTCCCAATTATACATGCCCCAAATGGGCATAGACACATACTTTTTGACATGTTCTTAGAAGGACTTTGGACGATTACGATTACAGATTACAAATTTCAGCTTTCTAGCGCTTCAACTAATATTATTTTTGGTACATCGGGAATATATGCATTATCCAGTTTGCCACGACCACTAGTGGGTGGATCGGGAAAATTTTAGGAAGAAACTGCAGTCTCTAGCTTCCATGGCGCTGAGAAAAATTGCGTTCATACGCACATACGGACATTCACAAAACCAATATACTCATTTCACTTCCACGTTAATGTGTATAATCAAAAAAACTTAAACATAAATATGTATCTTCCTATCCTAAATATATGTATAAAGTCTGGCAAACAACGACCCAAGCTTAAAACCAATCTTAATTATCTAGCTCTAAAGAAGTTAACTTCTTCGTTCTGAAAGCCGAAAATCCCATTTGATCAAGTTAATATTAAGAAATTGATTTTATGCACTGACAATAAATGTGATAAGTTGACAAGGCATACGGCATATTGAATTTCAGATTGAGTGGGTCGGGCCCCGTTTCCATTGCCCCTGTAAAAACCAAAATCTATCAATTCCATTTGCCATGTTTCATTTTGCATACATAATCTGCATCAAGGTTCAACTTGTGTTTCATTCTATCCTTATGTTGTGGTTGTTGTTATATTTCCTTGAGCAAAATCTTTTGTTAACGAACTGAGAGCCGAAAGGTAAAACCTTCGCAATATGTAAGCACATCCATATAGCTGATGCCCTTGTTACCGCTGTGTGCCTCCACCGCAGTCCCTCTGGCCGCACACAACAATCAATTGAGTTAATTTGAGCCCTACATATAACAATATATGTATTTATTAATATAGTATGAACATACATACATATATACATTCCTTTTTCCTTTTTGAATGTCAATGCGAAAGTTTTTGCGCTATTATATTTTGCACCCTGGTGTTTTTCAATGTCAGTCAAAGTGCAAAATCGAATGGAATGGAATCGATTCAGCTTTTGTGCCAACATTTTTCACACCCGAACAGTCGGGAAATGGAAAAGCAAAAGCAAAATGCGGTAGCAATAGTCGAAACATTTCGCTATTTATGCGAGTTAATTAACATGCTTTATTTAATTACTTAACGCAAATTGAGTGGGCAACTTTAAAACGCAATTAGTGAATGCTTTGTAATACTCTCACGCGAATTGCACTTGACATTCTCGATTGCATTTCAATTGCATTTATGGAGACATAAATATCGCTCACATAATTCTTACTTGGCTACAATTCTCCATCGTTAACAAAGTTCTGTCTCTCCCTGTTTGATTGCAGGGCCACAAAACATGTCCTAAAGGCTCTGCCCATCAACAGCAAAACAACTTGGCCATGCAATCCAGTGCAATCTGTTACGAAAACTTGAATTAATGAAGCGAGTGACATAAATCACACTATACGAAATCCGAAAAGCTGCACATAGAGAGGCAGAGAGTGCCAAAGTCAGAGAATAGCATGCAATTACCATCAACAACTGAGCCCCAGCATGGATAAGAAGTCAAAGAAAAAATCTAAAACGAAAAGCCTCAAGTCGAATAAGGAATCAAGCACCAAGCTGGACGTGGATCTATGGGAGGTAATTACCCAAACTGAAACAAGTAAGAATGTTGCGGTCGGACGTTACCGACTTGCTCTAATATTGTAAAAATTCAGTTTTTCTCGATCTGCCGCGCCTCTACTGGGTGTAGACACTTCATTTTTGGCCAACTCATAGAACAAGCTAACGGTATCCTAGCTGCAGTTGGATGTTTATGCTCAAAAAATGAGCGTATTTTTTGATGTAACACGCCCCTAAAGAGGCGTAACAATATCATTTAGGGAATCAATAGAGGAGATTATCAGTAATTTAACCTATCGAAATTTAAAGCTTCTACCTCCCGAGTATATAGATACAAGATACAAGATACAAGATACAAGATACAAGATACAAGATACAAG